TTTTGCATCTTAACTGGGTGTAGATGTCCACTAAGTGATTGTTGAATGAATAATTCTAATTCTGACCCACTCATGGGAACTTGGCATCACCAAGTTTCAAAGGGAGGTTTTAATGTTTTTTCTGATTTCTGATCTCTATTTTATACATAAATCAATTCAGCTACAAAAACTAGTAGCTAACGTTCCCACTATTTTTGTTGTTGTGTGTGCTCCATATTTTGTGCTATTTCAGGTCCGAGAAAAGACTGTGTATAGATGGAGCAATCTTTCTTTCCCTATCTCTCACCCCTTGGCCTTCTCCCAGTCACTGGTGGAAAGACTGAACATGAAGGGTTGTTATAGTTACTTTTTTGTTGCTGAGACAAAATACCCAACACCCAATGTTAAAGGAGGAAAGGTTTATTTCAGATCTCATCTGTAGAGGTTTCAGTCTGTAGTCAGTTGGCTCTAAGGCAGGGTGGCACATGGCAGAGGGACAGGGTAGGAGAGAAACAGTCCATGGCAAAGTAGGCCAGGCAGAAGGCAGCCAGCAGTGAAATAGCCAACGGCAAGCAACAAGCAACAACAGCAGCCCTCTTTCTGATTCTTATATTCTATCCAAGGTACACATCTGTAGGATGGGGAGCACTCACACACAATGTAGGCCTTCTTATTATCCACACCCAGAACGATGCCAAACCAATCAGTGGACTGATTTAGTAATCACACACCCTTAAACCCAGCAGCACACACTCTAGATCAAGTCATCTTTGAAAAGCCCCACTTATGACCACATGAAGATTTGGGGGGACATCTAGACACAAGCCATAAAAAGGGTCCAGGAACAGCAGTTGTGGAGCCCCAGTTTGGTCCAACTTGTCCTTTGGGTCTATCCCATTCATATTTTTCTTTTTCCTTTCTTTTGGTCACCACCTGGAGAATTGTCTTGTCAAGTGGATACAGGTCTGGGAACAAGTGTAAACTAAAAAGATATAACAGTCTTCACTTCAATTTCTGTCTTCACTTCAATTTCTAGAATTGTCCTAGGATGATATTTTTGATGGTTAACTCTCAATCCCATGTGTATGTAGGGAAGATTTTATGGCACTTGAATATTCCAGGACCACGGATAGAGCTCCCACATAAGGACACCACTGCAAAGAAAGCCCTGCTCTATCCAGTCAACTCGTCTTTTGTGTAGTTTAGAAAAACAATCCGTGAGAAAGCAAACAATGATGAATGAAATAACGTGTAAGAAAGTTGCATGAAAATCTGTGTTTTTCTCACCCTGCAAATCGATCTGTCATGTTAGTGAGTACGGAGACTCCCAACCAATTAAAGGCAGATTAAGAAGCAGCTACAAAAGTCTCAGGTACCTTGTAGGACACTCTTGATTTTTATAAAAAATTATAAGAGAAGAAAGAAGCTGGGCGTGCTGGTGCACACTGGTAATCCCCACACTTGGGCAGCTGAAGCAGAGGATTGCTGTATTTGAAGCCAACCTGGACTACATGATAATTTCAAGGCTAAAATTGTATAGTGAGGCTCTGCCTCAAAAACAAACAAACAAACAAAACAACAACAACAGAAAAGAAAGCATCTCTTTGTCCAGATGAAGAATGGATTAACCACAAAAATTTTAAGTACAATCAGAATCTCATTATTCTGACCTCACAAATGAACATTATTTTAGCACTTTATGTTCTAAAGCTCGGGGGCTAGTACTCAATCAGTTTCCTTCATCTTTAATGAACCTACTTCACCTATTTTGAAGGGGACCATTTATGGAAGATAAAGGCAAAACATAGCTGAAGAATCCCATTCCCCTTTGTTGACATCCTTTATCCATATACAATATCACTTATTTTCATCCTGTGAATATTTCCTCCTATGTAACATTTCTAGTCCCTTTAGAATTTGCTACAGTTTAGATGTTGACCATCCCCCAAAGGTCTATGTGTTCAAGGCTCAGTCTTCAGCTTGGTGTTTTCAGGAGGTGCTGAACCCTCCTAAAAGATGGGGGTGAAAGGTCATTGGGGGCTGTATCCTTGAAAGGCACTGTGGGGCCCTAGCACTTCTCTTTGTCTCTCTTTGCTTCCTGGGTGCCATGCAGTGAAGGAAACACAGTCCTCCTCGACCACGTGTTCCAGCCATGATGCATTGCTGCAGCACAGGCCCAAGGCAGAGGGTCCAGGTTACCATGGAATGAGGCCTTCAAAACCATTTCATGAGCTATGAAAGCCTTTGCTCTTTGTGCACTGATTATGTCAGATATTTGTTGCAGTGATGGAGAGCAGACTAGGTCAGTATTAGCAGTAATATGATTAATCTCTAAGGCACAGTGAAGCACAATGTGGTCACTTGGATATTTCCTTATTTGGGAAAAGATTCAGTGATCTTAAAGACACATATTGCTGCTGTGTTACTGAGGAAGCCTACTGGATTCAGCCATATCAATCGAAAGTTTTGTAACCTTTAGGAACTTTTCTTTTAAAAGAAGAATGATCCTTTGAAAACCTTATTTAAACCGTTATATTACTTGATTGAATTTTCATCATCATCAGAAGAAAGATCTATCTGAAAGGACTTGTTTGGAAATCTTTGGTGTTTTACATTTCTATTACGCAGTTACTGATTTATGTTTTCTAGGCTCTCCTGCACTCGATCGCATTACTGAGGTGTCCACAGCACAGGAGCTGACCCAGAGGGTGGCAAATGTGGCTAAGGATGGACGAGCTGACTGAAGGTTGACTGAACTGATTGGCAACTGACATGGGTGATAATGAGCATGACAGGTACCGTGCCAGCATCACTTTGCCACTCGCTATGCCTGTGACCCCTGCTTGGATGCTTTCCACCTGCAAACCTAAGTAACTCTGAGAACAGAGGATCCTGGAGATGCTGAGGAGTTGTTACCTCACAGATACAACTCTTAATTAGTGACGGTTGGGAATTGGTAGATATACAATCCCTCAGATGGAACAACCCCGAGGCTTTCAGTTCACCACCTCTCAGAATTACACAGTGGCATGGAGCCGGGGTGTCCTCAGGAATAACCTGCTTGATCAATGTCCTCCACGTCTTCCCTCCCCTCCTTGCAGTGCTGGGGAACAAACCCAAGGCCTCATGCATGCTAGGGAAGTGCTTGACCACTGAGCTACATCCCCAGCGAAGCACTTTTCAGTCTTATTTTCCTTTTCAGCCTACTTTCACACTTGTCTACTGGCACTCTATAGAATTAACTAGAAAATGAATTATTTGCACTTGTCTTAAGGCTTACTTCTGGGGAACACAACCTAAGACATTGGTTAAGTCCAACTGCCATTATCCTAAGAAGTGTGAACACTGTCATCAGTTCTCACCCAGAAAGAATAGCAGCATCACTGCGAGGCTTCTGTAGGGAAGCCATAGATCACCTACTCCTTAGAGGCATCCCCTGGTATTTATAGAGCTTTTGGGCTTGATGGTTAATTGTAGTCAATTTGACTGGGCCAGAGGGTACCCAGACACTCAGTCAGACATTATTCTAGGATTGACTGCCATGGTGGTTTTGGATGAGATTAACATAGGGGCTGGTTGGCTGGGTAAAGCAGACTGCCCTTCGTAATGGCAGTGGCCCTCATGCAATCACCCATATACCACAGAAAGGGGGACCCACCCATGAGTGAGCGAGATTGTTATCATTTAGATCTGAAACATCCTCCCAAAGCCTCATGTGTTCAAAGGTGGAGTTTTTGGAAGCTGATTGGATCATGGGACACTGTACTCATTTGTGGTTTCATCCCCTGGTGAGCTCAGAGGGTGAGTGTGCTGTTGGGAGGGCGGGCCTTATTGGAAGTGGTAGGTCCCTTTGGGTGTGGCCTGGAAGGGTGCATCTCCCTCCCTGGCTCTTCCCTTTTCTCTTTGCTTCCTGGACACCATGGTGTGTGCAACTTTCCTCTTTCAGATCATTACTGCCAGGCCATTCCTTCCTTGGAATTGGTGAGCCAGGGACTGTACCATGAGGCAAAATAAACCTCTCACCCTTTAAGTTGTGGGTTTTGGGTATTGTGTTTCAGCAATGATGGTGTGACTAAGACATTCCTTCCTGTCTTGGGCTAGGACATTGGTCTTTCATGGTGTTTGTACAGGACTGGGAACACTGATCTTATGTTTTGGGTTGGCCGGTCTGGGACTCATGCCGCTGCTTCCCCTGCCTTCAGCCTTGGGTGCAGTGGAGTCATGTGTCAGCTCTCCAGCTTGTGACTGTGAGCCTTGACACTTTTCAGTCTGCACAACGGCATGAGCCAATTCCTTACACTGGATCTCTGCGTGTGTTTTAGTCAGTATGACCCCGCCCAGTGCCTGGGACACACACATATGCGTGCACACACATGCACACTGAGGGAAGGAGGGAGAGAATCTAATGAATTGGTTCATGAAATTTATATACCTACTTACACATTTTATTGATTCTATTTCTCTGGAGAGCTTTGACCAATACTGACTTTGGTACTGAGGAGTGGGGTGTTCTGCTCTTGGTAGGCAATTAAGGTTAAAGAAGGTCATAAGGATCATATGATGAGACTGAGGCATTTTAAGAAGAGAAACTTCTTTCTCTCCCTTCCCACGCCCCTGTCTTTCCTCTCCCTATTTGCTATGTGGAGTCCCTGCAAGAAGGCCATCTGCAAGCCAAGAGGGCAGCCCTCAAAGAGAAGTGACTTGGCTGCCACCTTGATCCTGGCCTTCTACATATCAAGAACATTGGGAAACAGTCTCTGCTGTTTAAGTCTCCCAGTCTGTGGAACTTCATCGTGGCAGCCTGAGACTGGGGGAAGGGGATGATGTGTTTGATGATGGAAGTCCCCTGAGCTCTGTTTTATTCTCAACATCCCTTCAATGTCCCTAGGACCACTGTGGATTGGGGAAGTCCCATCTTGGCCTTTAAACTATCCACAAGTGTCACCTGACCCAATCCCTGGAAACTGGAAATATCCTACTTGGTACCATCCTGTAGCACTGATAACAAAAATCCCATAGACTCTTTTTTTCATTTGTTTTATTAGCATCAATATATACAAAGTGGAAAATGACTTAATTTCATTATTCTAGCTTAGAAAGTTTGTTCTGCTTTTTATTCTGTTTGATGATAAAATGAAAATGAAAGAAAATTTCCCAGGAGAAAGCCTACCTTTGGGGATGCTGGACAACTTGTAATATCTGACCTCAAATGACCCATTACACCTCATCAGGACATAGATGGGTCGTGCTCTTTGGATGTATCCCAGGGAAAGCCATTTTTGCCCAAGGGCCGTATATCAGCTTTAAGCTACCCACTCTTTGCCAAATCCCTCCTCTATTCCATTCTCCTGGTTGTGTGGCCAGTTTTCTTTCTTCTGAGCTGCTTGGCAGGTTTCAAAGCTATCAGCATGATGTTCCATAAGCTCTCCAAGGGGCTGACTTCAAAAGCACTTCCAGGTAAAGTACATCCATGGGATTAAGTAAAGATGGCTGTCAGATAGCAATCAGAATACTTAGGCTGGATAAATAATTCTACCAAAAAGGAAAAAGGAAAAGAAAAGGCTGAGCTCCAAGCTGAGGAGGGTTGAGTGTGTGCATTTTTAAAGCACAGGGTGGTAGCTGACAATACAGCCTGTATGAATTAGTGTGTAACACACACCAGCACATGCATTCTCTGAAGTTCACACTCTCTGTAAACATATTTCCCCGCTATTTTAAGAACGAGTGACTTGTAGGAAGGCTCAGTCCATTCTCAAGTTTCTCAAGAGGGTATTCTGTCCAAAAATATTTCATCCTGATGGGTTTTGATTTTGATCTTATAAAAACAGACATAGATGAACTGTGATGAGATGCCTCATACATTTTTGGCACTAATTTTTTTACCTTTACATATTACAAATACACACTTAGATATTTTAAAAAGAAAAAATAGACACCAACCTGTCTTTTCAATCACACTGCACGTTGCTGAACTTGCATGACCCAACTCTAGGCTACAACAAACTTTTAAAACATAGTTACAAGTGCTGTATACTAAGACAGAGCTAGGACATTGGTCTCTTGAAAAAAAAATCCCCCACCAAAACACCATCTTCTCTATCTGTCCAATAGCCAGTAAGAATACCTGGGCCGTGACCTGGCCACTTTCAGGGAGCAGGGTTAAAAGAACGATTTTGTATCTTGTCAGTCTTACAAAAGGCAAATGTTTAGTTTTCACCTAACCATGGAATGTTCTAAAATCAAATATTATTAATAGAGTTCTTCCTTGCAGACGACTCAAGGTTAGGGTTAGAATAAGCATCAAATAGAAATCGAAGCGAAGGTTGGATTTCTGCCTTTCAAAACAAGGTTATGTTATTTGTCTTGTCTTTCTCCAAAGCAACATTGCTCACCAGTGGCCTCGAACGCCTGTTCTCTGGTTCTTTCATAAATGGGGTGAGCTTTAGGGGCCTGGAAAACAGGCCTTTGTTGTCTTCTGCTCTGCCCCATAAATGCTTCTGCCTTCGGGAGCACACATGTAGGACTCTTCTCTGGCAGACTCACCCGTAGGATTGAGGTCTGAGCTGTAGTGGGGCAGGGGTTGCATAAGACCAATTTCCTCTCTTGCTCAAGATGTTCCCGAAGCAACTGCGAAGATACGGACTCCTAACCATTCTCTTTTGGGCTTGGCAGCCAGCATGGTCCCTTCTTTGTTTGAAAACCAGCAGATTTAAAACAGTTCTAGAGAGCAAGGGAGGGCATCAAAAACCACTGAACCTGTGCCTGCCTGGCTGAGCTGTGCCCTGGCTGCGTGGTTACCACATGACACCAGGGAACTGAATCACCCCACATGGACCATTCCATCTGTGCACCTTCACCCTCTGCCTTTTCATAAAAAAACCTCATATGTAGAAAAGAATCTTCTCAAGAGCCACACACTCACAGTTCCACTGGATTGGGGCAAAAGGACCCTGATAAAATCTCAAGATGCTCATGTAACTGGATACACTGCAATGACTTCCTGGTTTGACCTGAAATTCCTCTTCCTCTCCTCCTTGATGCTCAGATCGGATGATGCAGAGTCCATGGTACAGTTTGTTGTGATTTCAGCCCCTGGTCCTATTGTCTGAAGCTCCACAGTCAGCATCCACACTGCCATCCAACATACGAAGTTCCAGAGAACAGGACAGCAGGATCGTCCTTCCTCTTCCTCCTAGAGCCTTCCCCCCCTGGGAGATATGGCCTCTGAAGAGGACATCTTTTAGGGAAGCAGTGCATTTGACCATCTCCTATGCTGTAGGCCAAGATATCCCAGAACCCCAGGAGGAAAACCGCTCACCCCTGAACTTCAGAGCACGGCACCTCCTCTCTCCCAGCACGAGCCCTGTAACTGTGGGGGTGAAGCCGCCTGTCTCCCATGCCTGCAGACTTATTATCCTTGCTGGAGGGTGGCCCTGCCCAACAAGGCGATCGATTCTGGCACTTGCATAAATCACCAGCTCTGTCATCATCGAAGGAGTGTCAAGGAAAAGAACGTTTTATTAACCCAATTCCTTCAACCAATGTACCCCTTCACCCCATTTCCTCCTTGGAACTCTTAGACCTCTCATCTTCTCTAAAAATTCTCCTTTGTCACTTATCACCTTTTTAGGAAGAAAACATTTTCTTCAGATTTTGCCAGCATCCAGGGAGGTCAGGGTGGTACAAGAGAATGTTTATGTGACATCTGGGCTGCCTTCAGAAAATCCATGAGACAGAGGAGATGGGGTATGGCATTTTAGGAGCTGGTAACATTAGAAAAGATGACACGGAATCTGTTTTGGACCAAAACAAGGAATGGGCTTAAGTACCTGTGCTAAATTCCAACCCGTGATAACCCAATGAGAAACACCCTTTCCAACCTAATCTTGGGAGATAGATTTGTACCCAAAACACTCTGGGCATGGATGCCAAAGATGTGTGCAACTTGATGCAGCCTCAGCATGCCATTGCTGATGACGGGAGAGACTTGATGTGTTGTTGTTGTTTGTTTGTCGCTGCTGCTGTTTGCCACTTTGCAGATATTCCACCTGCCTTGGGAATGGAGGCTGTCAATGAACTTGGCTGCAGCCGCAGTACATCAAACCACATCTACTTCAATCTTAAATATAATAAATACAGCAAAGAAAACAGTAAATCTTCAATCAAGAGTCTAAAGAGAAGACAGCAGACACTCCGGGGTTTCGATCAAATGCCACATGGTCTCTGGATGGATGTCTTGAGGAGGTTGTAACCGAGTTCATGTCTGTGAGCTCCCTTCTCTAGTGCAGCTCTTTAGATAGAAACCTCATACTCTCTGGTTTCCTGCAACAAAGAGAGGCACAGATTTGTTAAGCCTTGTGTGGTAGACTGACACTGCACTGGTTCCAGTTCTTCCTCCTTCCTGTGTCCATGACCTCGGCTATGTGAACTGCACAGCAGTTCCACTCTGCCCCTGACTTGCTTCTTCTCATAGGTTACAAGACCATGGTATGCACATGGGAATGTGTTGTGTGTACCTGTCTTACTGCCATCACGCTGCTCAAGGCATGATCTGTAAGTCCCCATAGGGGGTTAAAGGACACAGAGAACAGAGCTGGGTCACTCAGCCAACAGCCAACAAGCTTTGACACTCTGCTGAGATCAGGCTACATCATTGCCCCATGGACTGGGGAGCACATGGGTGCTTTTGCTTTAAGATATTAAGTTTGGGATTGTTTGCTACTCTGCATTGTTATAGACCTAGGTCATTGATATGATCTACCAGTAAATATTAATAAGGTCTGAGCTCTCAATGCTATTTTTCTTTTTTAAAAATTAGTACATGTTTGTGAAACCTAATGAATATATTCATTGTGGGGTGTTGGGATGTATACATATCTCATCTTCATCCCTTCTATTTCACCTTCCTCTGCTCTCCTGCCCTCTGCCCCGCCTAGACCCCCTTTCCATTTCCACAAAGTCTACTAATTGCCATTTTTCATCAGCCTCACCTTTTCTGAGGATTTGAACACAAGCTGCCTAGAGTATGAAAAACATGCGCTTTACTCTCTTTTTTTGTTTGCTTGCTTGTTTTTTGTTTTGTTTTGTTTTTTTCCTGGTACTGGGAATCGAACTCATGACCTTGTGCTTGCCAGGCAGGTGCTGTGCCACTGAGCTAAATCCCCAGCCCATGGGCTTTACTCTCAGTGCACTGAAAACATCTGCAATGTGTGGGTGGTGGCCAGGTATGCCATTCCAGGCTCCAGGGCTGAGGAGCAGGGAGACAGAAGGAGCCATGGCTCAGCCTTAGAAATGGTCACTGTCACCTGTTTTAATGGAATCTTCAGTTCCCGCTGGGCCAACACAGAGAAGCAACCACTTCTACGCTTCTCAGCAGATAGGAGGTGTGGAGGGCAGACTTTACAGCAGTCCCCACCTGCTTGTTCTTGTGTGAGCTCCTCCTCCTGGGAGGGCTGTGGCTAAGATGTCACTTCCATGTTTGCATTACACAGGCTTGCGGCTCCCACCTTGCTAGGAGACTCAAGTGTGAGCTGCTGTGTGGAGAGGGCCACATGGAAAGAACTGAAGGTGGCTTCTGGATGACAGCCTGCAGCCAGGTGTGGTGGCACACGCCTGTAATTCCAGCACTGAGGCGGGCCGAGGCAGGAGGACTGCAAGTTTGAGTCCTGTCTGGACTACCTAGTAAGATGCTATCACAGAGTAAAAAATAAAAAACAGGCTGGGAACACAGCTCAGGGGTAGGGTGTTGGGAGCGGCCGAAGCTGGAAAGTAATTACACGCGCAGGACGAAGCCAGCCCAAGAACACGGGAGCTCCGAGAACATGGGAGCTCTGGAAACACGGGAGCTCCTCGAAGCACGGAAACAAGCCGTTGTAGCTTGTTAACTGATTGCTGGGCAGCGAGGCTGAAATTAATCAACCTCTGACGGGTATAAATAAATGCTCTACTGTTTTTGGGTAGTTACCCTTCTCCGCTCAGAAGAGAGAGGACCTCTGCCTGACCCCAGCTTTTCTCTCTTGTCTTTTCCTCATTCTCACCACCGTTCCTTCCCAGGGTACAGCAAGAACCCAGTGGATCCGTACAGTAGGGTGTCCTTAGGTTCAATCCCCAGTGCCAAAAACGAACAAACAAACAACAAGCAAACACAACAGTCTGCTAGAAATGGAGCCCCTCCATCCAGCTACCTGGAGGAACTGACTGGTGACATCTAACACATGAGCCTCGGATGAGCCTGGCAGACCCAGCTGGGATACTCACAGTGACCCACGAGCCCCGAAGCAGCAGAGGACCCTGCTGAACTGGGCCCGGATTCCCCACCTATAGAATGATGAGATAGGGAACATGTGCTGCAACGGGCCCCTAGACTTGTGGTACTATTGTTACACATCAACAGATAACTACACAGAGGGACTGGGTTGGGGGGAAGGTGAAACAGCGGGAGCAAGGACAGGTCATTTCCACCCCTACACACATCGGGAGGGACGGACATCATGACACAGTGATTGTGAAGAAGTGGTCTTGTACAGTCATGATCAGCCTCTGGACCTTTGCATATACCCCTCCACCTTCCCGATGCCCTCTTCAGCCAGTTCTACCCATCTTCCATTTCTCAGTTTATGATCACTTCCTCCAACACATCTTTCCAGCCCCCTTCTCCTCCCCCATCGTACACTCTCACAGCACCCTAATTGTTTCATAGTCTGTAAATGTGATCATTTAGCATAACCGAGCTAGTCATGGGCAAGTCTGATGGCTTGAGGTTTGCGGGGAGGCAGCAGGGTGAGTGCAGCCCGGATGCCAGCTGGGCACTTTGGCTTGGTGCCCCACTGGCCAAATTCCTTCTTCCTCTGGACCTCCATGTCCTCATCAGTCAAAGATACATGACTGTAGAGTTCATCCCAGAGAACCGCAAGTGTGCAGACCTTATGCACTGGGTGTTGGGCGCATGGGACATATATTACTATTAGTGATATTTATCTTCTTTGCAAAACTGTAAGCTTATGGGGGTGGGAGCTGAGCCTGTAGTCAAGCACCACTTAAGGACATGTGGTCAACAGCAGACTGCAGAGCCAACAGTGGCCCCACAAGATAATAACAGGTGGAACGATGCCTCTTGCCTGCTGATGCCATGCTGTTGCAGCTCAAGGCTTCCCTCATGTGTCACGATGCAGGTGAGAACAAGCCTGCTGCGCTGCCACCCTTATGGAAGGATGGCACCTATGGTTAGACACAGTACAGCACACTTGGTAATGATACTAAATGACCATGTCACAATGTTTCTTCCGTGTATTTACTGTGCTGTAATACTTCTACTTACCTAAAAAGGTTACTGTATGTGATGTGACTCTGACAGCAGTCACCTACATCTCCTGTGTCCTGTCTCTCTGTCTCTGTCTGTGTCTGTCTCTATCTCTCTCTCTGTCTCTCCCTCTCTGTCTCTCTCCCCTCACCCCTTCCAGTGCTGGGATGGACCCCCTGGCCTAGTACATACCAGGCAACCATTCTACCATTGAGCAACATCCCCAGCCCTTTTCATTTTGACAGAGGGTCTTGCTAAGTTGCTTGGGCTGGACTTAAAAATTGGGAACCTCCTGCCTCAGCCTCCTAAGTAGTTGGGATGACAGGTGTGAGCCACCATGCCTGGTTTGTGTGATCACTTTGAGACATCACAGCGAGCCAAGTGTGATGTCCCACACTTGTCACCCTAGCACTCTGGGATTTGAGCCCAGTCTTGGCAGCTTAGCAAGACCCTGCCTCTAAATTAAAAATTACAACAGGGTTGGGAATGTAGATCAGTGCAAAGGTCTTGGGTTCAGTCCTTGGTGCTGTGAAACAAACAAACAAACTGGAATGAAAGAGCCACAGCGAGTGATGGACCTCCACCATATGGGTTTGAGGATGCCACCCCAGGATGTTGACACAGTGATCAACAAATGGCATGGTTCTTGGAATGTATCCGGCTGTGAAGTGAGTGTACTTGGTTCAGCACTGTGCTCCCAGTATCCAGCACTGGGCTGCCTTTCAGGGTTATAGGAAGGCTGCACTGTGTCCTCAGTAAAGCACAGGGCTCAGCTGGACATGTAGGGTGGCCACATGTCCAGGCCACCAGGGCACCTGACGCCTGACCATCAGGCTCGTCTGCAGGTCTTGGGAGCAGCCCTTCCTTGCCATGGGCTCCCTGAGGGCGAACAGCCTCCCGGGATCCTCCTGGCCCCAAACATCTGCAATAGCCCTGGGAGCCTGGTGGTGAGCACAGTGGGGGATGCGGTGAGCACCAGCAGAACCTCAGCTGGGTCTTCCGCTGGCGGCGGCACAGTGGGTGAAGAGGGAGGAGGTGGGACAGAAGGAGGGCGACTCACCCCCGTCTCGTAGATGGGGTTGTCAAACTCGGTCTCCACGGTGATCTGGCTGTAGGGGTGGGAGTACATGAGGGGCAGGCGGAGGCTGGAGTAGTAGCGACACCTGGAGAAGAGATGGGAGACGGGTCAGCTCCCCTGCAGCGGGAGACCCATTGCCCTAAGGGACCAGAGCAGTCTGCCCACTTCCTGAGCTCAGGCAGCTCTTCCCTTTGCTGTGTTTACCTTAATGTGTTAGCACTCACTCGTCTGCTTACTCCTCTTCCCCCTGCACTTGACGGGAGCCCCCTGACGGCAGGGATGACTCACGCCTGCCTCAGGCCCTCTGCGCATGCCCGTTCCCCACCTCCTCTCCCACTCCTCTGCGTGTTACTCACTGAATCATGTTTACGTCCTTGCTCACATGTTTTTCCTTTCTCAGTGGGGCCTCTCCCACCTACTAATTTAAAAATTCAACTACCACCACTCTGCCAGAGCGCTTTTTCTCTTTCCAGTTTTCTTTTCCTCCCTGAGTCTTTCACCTTCCAATCTACTCCACGCTTTCCTTGTATATTTTGCTTATCATCTGTCTTGTGCCAGTAGAACCTGAGGCCCACGCGGGCGAAGACTCCTTCTGTCGTGTTCACAATGATGTCCCCGGGCCTGGAAGTCTGCCCGGCACACAGCAGCACTCTGGTGAGCGTGACCCTTGATGCATCAGTGACTCTGCCAAGCTTGGTCTACACATACCTTCTTCATTGCATGCAAGTCTGTGACCTCCAGGGCCTGGGACAGTGTTCGGTACCCACTCAGTTGTGACTGCATATTGGAGGGCTACACAGATGAGTGAGTGAGTGATAGAGTGACTGAGCCGGAGTGCCCAACACTGAGAACTGTCCGTGCCCTCCATGAAAGGAGAAGCTCCTTGGGACCAGGACAGGTGTCTGTCTTGGGTGCTAGCTCATGCTCAGCCCTCCTGCCGGGGGCCCTTGGTCTGTGCCCAATGTCATTACCTGCCCTGCAGAGATGAGTGGAATTGAATCATCTCTACAGTCATGTGAATGCTACTATTCCTGTTCAAAGGCTCCAGAGCAGACCTGAAGCTCTGAGGTGACCGCCCAGTTCCCCAGGGTGCTGCCTCCCGCCTCAGCCTACCTGGTAATGTAAATGTAGGCTCCTCCCAGCAGCAAGGAGATGATGAGGACAGGGATGAAGATAGCCAGCGCCATATTTCCTCCTTCCAGGGAAGACTCGGCTGCCGCTTCTGCTACTGAACACACAGCTGCTGAGCCTCTCAGCCTGCGCATGCCCTGCCCCGTGGTACCCCGCCGCCTCTCAGGAGAGCACCCCAGCCCCTTGCCCCTCCCATGGCCTACAGAGGACTACAGGCCCCCCGGAATGGGAGAGTCGCAGTTAGGAGCCTCATACGTCCATGCCCACTGGAGGGTAGGGTGCAGCCCGATCTGGTTAAAATCCCGCTCTTGAGAAGAGCCGGAGAAATCCCTAGAGTCGAGGTGCGTCCTTCAGCCCCGCCGGGGGCTGGCGGTGAGCATTGCTGAAATCCGGTTAAAATCCGACCCAAGGAAAGAAGTGGAGAAAATCCCAAATGCAAATCTGGGCTGTCCGTGTGTGTGTGTGTGTGTGTGTGTGTGTGTGTGTATGTGTGTGTGTGTGTGTGTGATGAGGCCAGGTCAGTTGCAAGTTTTCCAAGCAGGAGTCCCTAGCGCGGCTGCTCCCCGGGAGCTGTTTCACAGCGCTCTCCTTAGTGTGCTGCGATTTCTTTGCCTGCTTACTCCCCGCCAGTGCATAGTAGGCACACAGCTACTTCAGGGCCTTTGCACATGCGGTTTCTCTGCCTGGTGTCCCCCTCTCCCACTTATCTGCACGGTTCACTCATTGTCATTTCAAGTCCTTGCTCAAAAGTTGCACCCAGCTAGGGCGCCCTGCAGAACTCAGACTCCAATCCAAGATTGAACCTGGGCAGCTGGCATAGCTCTGCATTCTGCACACCCCAGCTTCAAGACGCAGCGCTTTCTCAGCCTCTGCCACTCATTCTCGGGGAGCACTCAGAGTCACCTGGAGGCTCCCATCAGGTCACAGCACTTGTGGTGATTGGTAGGACCATCGTAGCTATTTCAGAGACTGGACGTGCTTCCCAGCACAGCTGCAGGGGCCTCACATTGTTTCTGGAAGCTTGGCCTCCAGGGCTCCTCTGCATTCTCGTAGCTGCATCTCACAAGCTTAGCTGTGTTCCAATCTATAATCCATTAACCACCTCTTTATGAGGTCTGAAAAATCAATGCTAAGCCTGATGATGAATAGAAGCCCACAAAACTGGCAATGGCGCTCAGCCTGCCTGAGCGAGCCCAGCCCTAGGGGACGTTTTCATGGTTCACAGGGTGGCGAAAGGCAGCCGAGGGCCATCTCAGGTAGAGAACGGCACCATGAAACGCCCGCTATTTTCCAAGCGGAATGACTAATAGCTGCTCCCCCCGCACCTGTATTTGAGCTCTGCCTCTACCTGTGCGCATGACCACGTTGCTTGTTACAGGGACCGGCAACCGGTGACACGCAATTCACAGAGCTCCCGATGAGACCCCAGGAATGACAATGACAAGTGCTTAATTGGCTGGAACATTTTGATAAGTGAAACAATGGATTTGATTTTTTTTTTTTCTGACATCACAGTCTGAAGGAGAGGTTTTACACCCAATTTAATGAAAGTGCCGAAGGTTTTCTATGTGGAGGGGCCGGGAAGGAATCGGGGAGCAAGAGCGCGGAGAAAATCATGACGGGCTCTGAACCACATCCCATGTTAATAAGCGTCACTGGGGAATTTCCAATAGAGGAGACGGAGACAGATGCCTACGTTGGGGAGCAGAAAGATCACAGGAGAGTGGAGCCTGGGGCTGGCCCTGGGCTGGCCCTCCTCTCCTGCGGCAGGAGGGCGCTCAGTGTGGACAGGGCAGGACCGGGAACACTTCCTGGCTGGGGCAATGGACCACAGGGCTGAGCATCTCGGGCTCCCCTCACTGTGTGCAGAGCTGGTGTCAAATACCTCACGGGTACATTTAGGACGTGAAGTTGCAAAACCACTTAGTTTTTTCTTTCTAGTTTCATTTGCTTGGAGGTTATTTGTGGTGGTGTGAAGGCAGACTTTATTAATTACTTTTTAAAGCACCTGGGTCAACACATTTCAAGGACCCACCCTCGTTTCCTGCTATGAGCTTGATGTATGGGGTCTTTTTGTTACGGGATGGAACTCACCTTCTAAAGCATGTTCAAAACTGTCTTGATTAACTGGAAGAGAGATCAGAAAGCGTGGGTCAGTGCAAAGTGAATTCACTCTGTGTGAAATGAAGCTAGAGAAAAAAATAGATGAGGAAGCCCGTGCCACACTTCGTTAGTTAAGGCTATGTTTTCACTGGTCTTCGACTACCATCATCTGTAGGATCTGCTCACCTAAGTTCTCAAGGGAAGATGAGGCAGAGAACAAAGTTACGAAAACACTAATTGTAATAATGGATAATTACAAAGCACCCAATATTGTGCCTGGAGCTCTGTGTATATCCTCCCATTTAAGCTTCAACAGTCTCTTGAAATAGACACTACTATCCCCACCATTCCACAGATGAACAAACAGAGGTTCAGAGACATGCAGTGACTTCTCTGACATCGCACGGGATCTAAGGGATGAAGGAGTGGTTTCAAGTGGGATTGTTTGACTTTCGCCTCTGCTCTTAACTATTCAGGTCAGATCTGTGCACAGTTTTCACATGGAACAAAATGCTGAAGAGACCCTCCCCAAAGGCCAGCCAAAGGGGTCACCATTTCCCTGCTGGAAATATACGTTTAGGTGAACCTCCTTGTATTCCGTATCTGTGGACTAGGCTTTGTATTCCATGCGGAACTCTGTCATTAACTTGTATCTCCTAAAAACCCTGGAAGTTCAAGACCATGGGGGACGGCGTGCCAGGCCCAGACCTCACTGTCATCCTGGCAGCTGGGCACAGAAATATTCCATCAAGGATGCAAAAAACCTGGAAGTGGAGCTCAGGGGAGAATAGATAGGAAAGGTGTTGGCTACATCCATGTCTGACTAAATCCCAAGACTTCCTGATTAGCGTGCAGGTTGCTCAGTCAGACACAGAAAGTTAGATATTGTATGGTTTCTCTGACATGAGAAACCCCCAGTATGAATTGATTAAAGAGTAGAGGGAAGCAGAGACCACAGAAAATGGGGAAGTGGGCTTCTCAAAGAAGGGGACGGGGCCAAGGGAAGCGGGGAGGGCAGGTGGTGGGGGGAGGGGAAAGGGATTGAAAATCATCAAGAAATAGATAAATAAATTCCCCCAAACAAAGGTAACGATCATGAAGAGCGAATGTACACTAGCAGCAGCAGCAACAACAAACAAAATCACCAGTGTGTGATGACAACTGAACCAGTTGAAAAATACTGGCCAACAGCTGCCGTGGTCTGAAGGTCCCACATGTTAGAAGCCGGATCCCCAGGCTTGCATGTGGGTGGTGTTTGGAGGTGGAGACTTTGGGGGGGGTGTGAGGGTGAGAGGAGGTCATGGGGTGGGGTCCCCACGATGGCACAAGCAGCTTTCTAGGAAGGGGATGGGAGCTCTGTGCTGGCAGGCTGGCTGGCTCTGCCATGGGTGCCCCCCCATGCTGTGATGTGGCCGGGAGGCCCTTGCTGATGCTGCTCCAGGCTCTTGGGCTTCCCAGGCTCCAGAACTGTAAGCCCAACAGACTTCTCTTCTTTATATATTACCCAGGTGCAGGCATTTTGTTATAGCAGCAGACAACAGACTAAGATAGGTGCCAGCTGTGGAGTGCAGGAAGGGCAGTAGGCCACCCTACCAGAGCAAGTTCAGACTGCAGCCAGCCTGACCTGGCCCCACAATGCCCCTCGGCCCCATGCCCATCTCTGTACCTTTGCAGACAGGCAGGGGCCCGTTCCAGTGTGACGGTTGCCCCAGGATGCAGCGGATGGTCACTTCGCCCATGAGCTCGAAACCTTCGTAGCACATGAAGGTGAGGGACTCTCCCGGGAGGTACAGCCGCTTGTATAGGATCTGGTACCCATTTTCAGGCAGCCCTGGGTTGTCACACGCCAGGGACTCCTCCGCTGAAATACAAGACAAACGGGGCTCTGATGAGATGAAGCCAATCAGGTGTGGGGGTGGGGACTCCTGCTCAGAGCCTAGCTCAGCCCACCCTCTGGAACTGTTTCCCTTCATTAAACCTGCCTTCCTCTCTCCTGCCTCTAGGTACACATTACAAACAGGCACAGGAGAATAAACTGAGCTGTGGAGTCTGGGTTCAAGTCCGGGTTTATCCACTTCCTAGCTGTGTGACTTCCAGCAAGAGCCAGAGCCTTTCTGATCTTCAGTTTTCTTATCAGCAAAACACAAATATCAGCCTCACAGGGATCTGCAGGATTGAACGAGGTAATAGGTATGAAATGCTTAAGATGTTCTTGGTGTGTTGTAGGTGTGCAGTAAACTGTACATTTTGGTGGTGTTTCTTTAAGAAAAGTTCTCCGTTCTCATTTTATACCTAACCTGTTCATCCAGTGTATGAAGGTCTGGTCTTTCAATACTTGTTTTTCCTCCTCCATGAACCTTTCCCTGATGCCTCCTGCCACCAACCGAGTCCTTTCTTCCTCCACTGGCGCTGCATACTCTGTATTATTTAACACAGTGCCTGCCGGCCTTCCTGGAGATGGGCTTGTTAAGGCGAGTGGGACCCTCAGAGCCCACAGTAGGAGCCCAATGCTAACTGGTCCGACCTAGTCAGCTCACACCGCCATCTGGTGGTTACTCCCTGAAGCTGCAGACACGAAGTCCCTGCCGGCCTATGGGGGAGTTCAACCTGCAGCTTGAACCCATTCCAAGCCCACTGTGTATTCAGTTCTTTTCAGCACCCAGGGGGGATGCGCAGCCAGCAACACTGCTTTGCACAAAGGACTATAAATCCTAAAAGATTCACAGACTTAGAAGAATTAAAAATTTAAAATCTAAACTGTGGTCAAATTCTCACCCCGTTAACATCGACATGAGCCTCTTAACCATGTGGAGTGTAGGAAGAGTTAGATACATGCATGTTGTGTACAGCTAACCCCAGAACTCTTTTCCTCTTGCCAATCTGCAATTCTTCATGCATCAAACAATTCCCCGTCTTCCATGCCCCAGCCCCTGGCACCCACCACTTTGCTTTCTGTCTCTACGAATCTGACTGCTCTAAGGATCTCATGCAGGTGGAATCACACAGTACGTGTCTTTTGGGCGCCAGCTTATTTGACCGACCACAGTGTCCTCAGGGTTCATCCCTGTGAGGGCTCGGGCCAGAGCTTCCTTCCTTTGGAAGGCTGAATGCTGCTCCCTTCTATGGATGGAAAGCTCTTGCATACTCATTCATCAGCGGGCCCTCGGGCTGCTTCCACATCGCAGCCATTGTGAGTGCTGCTGCTGTGCCCCTGGGTGTAGAAACACCTCTTTGAGTCCCTCATTTCTGTTCTTTAGCAGGTAATACCCGGATGTGGAAGTGCTGGAGCGTATAGTAATTCTATTGTTAAGTTTCAAGGACTTGCTATACTGCTCTCCACTGAGGCTCTGCCTTCTGCATCCCCACGACAGTTCCCATGGGTTCCAGTTCTTCCACTTCAGATCCTAAACAGTCAATCTTTTCTTCTGGCTTTGACCCATGTCTTCGAGTATCACATGCAGTACCTGCTGTGGATCTACCTGAGAGACAGGAGGGGAGGAACTGTTATCAACAGCTTCAGATCCCGGCCTGATTAGTGAAACTCCCCCGGGAGGTGTGCTGTGCCTTTTACCCAAAGTGCTCCCGGGGGATCGAGTGGAGCAGTTTCTATCACTCAGTGGTGCAATTCCTGCCATCTCAGCCCTGCAGACTTCACCTCAGGGCGTGGAGCAGGGGCTGGCAGCTTCCCACTGAACATCCTGACGGTTGTGGAGAGGACGTGGCTTCCTCAGACTTGGCTTCCGAGGCTCTGCTTCATCTTCCTGCTCGGACTCTTCCCAGCCCCAAAGGGAACTGGTCTCATTTGCCGGATGGACAGTGCTGTTCTCCCTGGGTGGCTTGGTCTGTGCTTCTCCCCTGCCCTGCACACCGCTCCTCCTACCTACGGACGAGCACAGTGACCAGCGCTAACAGAGCCCTCAGGGACCACCGCCTCCCAGTCCACTGTCCTTGAGTGCAGGTGGGACCTGTGACTCGCTGTTAACCAACAACAGGGCAGAAGTGATGGGATGGAGGTCACTACCACAAGGGCGCGTGTGTCTCGCTAGCAGATCATCTCGGACTCAGACTATCAGCCACGCTGTGAGCCACCCCGTGGGAGGGTGCATGTGAAGGACAGAGGGGGCTCTGGCCAGCAGGATGCAGAGAACTGCGTCTTGCAGACAACCATGTGAGTGTCGATTTGGGTCCTTCTTTGCTTAAATCTTCAGAAAAGACTCCAGCCTTAGGGTCTCTCTGTGAGCGTTTCCAGGCCAGAGGACCTAGTTCTGCTACCCACAGACTCCAGGCCCGCAGGGGCAGCACACTCACAAACACATGTTTGATGCACCTCATTCTGCAAGATGAATCTCTGGGAACCCCTCCAGAGCCAGATCTGTCTCCGACGGCGTGAATTCCCACATCCCATAACCTGCACGGACCTGCAACTGTTCCATTCTTTCCTCTGTATCTCTTTCCCACAGTGCAAACTGCTATGATGCTCACGCCAGGAATACCAGTGTCCGGCACAATGCCTGGTTCTCAGGACACATTAAATTCTTCAGTCAACCAATGATTAGTGAGCAACCGTTATGTCCTAGCAACGGGGGACACAGAGGTGAATAAAACAGGTAGCACCCTTGTCTAGGGGACCGTGGGTGGGAGGCACACTGTAAAGTGTGGGTCCTGACTGGAACCTTTCCACCCGTGAATATGACTTACAAACTGGCTCTTTTTAACTCGTGCAATGTAAAATTTAAGAATAACCATTGAGTTTTCACAGATCAGGTTGGTTCATGTAATAATCAAGATTTTTGGCTTCTTCTGAAGCATCTGGTGATCAAAGCACTCATACAATGATTGATTAGATTTTTTTTTTTTTTTTTTTTTTTTTTTTGAGACAGGGTCTCACTATGGAGTTCAGGCCTTGAGCTCACTTTGTAGCCCAAGCTACATCTGTGGCCCCTCCTGCAGTGATTCGCTGGTGGATTTAAGTAGCAGTTTTCTCCTTAAACCAGGAATGAGCTTCATTTTAGCCACAATCCCTACCACTCCCTGTTGTCTCACACACTGAACACACCTGGCCCTGCAGGCTCTTAGCTGTTATCACCTTTCCAAGGGGCACATGCATGAAAGGTTGAAGATGTTTTAGCAAAGATATCACTACTCATGAAGAATTTGGGTTTTGATCCCCTTGAAATGGTGGTGAATGGGAACCTGGCTTCCACCCTTGAGATGGAAGCACTTTTCCTTATGCTTCATCAGCCGTTAGGAGCTGTTTTCTCCCCACCTTGGACATCCAGCTGGTAGGTCCAGAAGCCAGACCCTGGAAAGGGACTTTCCAGGTCACTGCGTGGCTGGAAGTGCATCTTGTGTGACCACCCTGGCAGGTGCTCACATGCTCATCCAGAAAGCTTTCATTGCTGGGCATGGTGGTGGCACATGCCTGTAATCCCAGCACTCAGGAGGCTGAGGCAGGAAGATCGTTGCAAGTTCGAGGCCAACCTGGGCTATAAAGGGAGCTCAAGGCCAGCCTGAACTACACAGCGAGACCCTGCCTCAAAAAGACAAAAAATCCCCCCAAACCCCCCAAAACAGAAAGCATTTGCTAAGCACTCCCTCCATGCCTGGCAACACGTCCAGCAGGGTCAGGAGGCGAATCAGATACTATTCCTGCCCTGCACTGCTTGCAGTCAAGAACTCCAAGGAGTCCAGCGAAGGTGTCAATAAAAAGTGGCAGGTCCTGTTAGACCCAGAGGAGGCACCAGCGCAGTCGAGGGGGGATGGTTACACAGGCGGTATGAGAGTGAGCAGAGTGGGGCTGCACGCTTTCTTGGGGAAGCAGGGATGGGGATGGGACCCAGGCCCTCACACACACAAACACTGCAGTACCGAGCTGCATGCTCATATCTGCATCTTTTTGTGGTAAACGTGAGTGGCGTCTGGCTGAGGACCAGCACGGGGCATGGTCTAATGGTTCCTCTGAAAATACTCTGAAAAAACCCTTTGATTCTGAGCCGAGCAGAACTCATGGCTGCATCAGCAGCAGCCTGGTACACAGTAGGTGCCTAGTAAGTGCTTCTTCGAAGTCAGCTCAATTAAAGGAGGGTCGTGAAGTAAAGCGCTCGGCACCAAGTGTTCAAGGGCCCAGGCTGCAGATCCCAGCTGTGTATCTGTGAGTACAATAGCCTCTCGGAGCCTTGGTTTCTTCATCTGCAAAATGGGCTCTTTTGGGTTATGATGAAGATTATGCAGGCTCCTACATGTGAGCAGAGCACAGTATGAAACCCCGGGAAACCCCGATTCTGCTTATGGCTGTTATAGTTCTTGTCCTAGTCTCACACCAACTCCCCTATTGCTTACTTCATAAAATTTCTATGGACTGTTTCCCCATTTAAATTGTGCTATAGAATTTAGCCTCAAAAAAAAAAAAAAAAAAAAAAAAAAAAACAAA